GGTGTGGTGGTGGGGTGAAGGAGTGGGGTGGGGTGGGATGAAGTAGTGTGGGAATGTGGGGGAGTGGGGCGGATGGTGGGGTGGGTGGCAGGTGTGGGGGGTGAGGTGGGAGGATTCACAGTTTTAAAAAGTTTAAAATCCTTCCCATTCTATTGACTCTAACTCATAGTACATCTTGTCTCTCTCTGTAGAACAAGGTTTAAGTTTATGGAAGACGTTATCCTCCCATCTAGTCAAGGACTTTTGTCTTCTTCCCTTTCTTTGCCTGAAGCCTCATTTTTTCTCCTGTCTCTGTCCGCTCCTCCACAGTTCTGCCCCTACCGGAAGTGCCCTCAACAAGGTCACCAGCCAACTTCTGCTACAGGAGTCCTTGAGAGCATTTCACCACTTTTGTAATTTGACCTCCTGCCTTCTTTGATAACCTTGATCTCCAAGCCCTCTCCACTAAGGTCTCTATCTCAGCATTCTCCCTGGTTCTCGGTTGCCTACCGATTGAGGGCTGGCAGTGGGGTTTGTGCTTTTTTTTCCCCTTAAAGGTAGGTGGTTCCCAGCTCTACTCATGACCTGTTCTTTGCTCATTACTTATGTCAACTTACACAACAAACAGATCCTTCAAAGGTAGCGAGTTTATCTGGGCTATCAGTGAATGGAGATGCATGTGGGCAGACTCAAAGAGAGGGAAGGAAGGGGGAATTCTAAAGGCATGACGGGAAACATTGCGCAAGCTCTTTTGTAGGAATGATCCTGGGGTACAGGAACCAGCAGCGAGGGTGATGACAACCCCAGGCAGGGAGATGTGGTACAGATGCCGCTGCAGAGATGGCCTTTGGTTAAAGTCACGGTGGTCATTGTGCAAGGCTGTCATTTGCCAGAACTGCAGCTTCCGGCAACTCTTACTACACCTACCTGCCACAGACATCCCACAAGACTTAGTAGGTCTTGGGTCCCAGCTTCAGATGGACAGCACAGGCGTTCAGTGTTGAGGCACTGGGCAGACATGATTAAACAAGTACACACTTTTATTGAATCATTAAAGGAAAAAACTTACATAGTGATTATTTGGGGTTACTTACACTCAGCAATGTAAAAGGTG